ATTCTAAATGGCATTCCATCACAAATACTATTTTCAATTCTTACTGATTTAACCTATTTATCTCGTCTTCGTTCATTAAACATTACTACAGAATGGGAATCATGGGATTTAACTGAAATTTGGCACTATGTCAATTCGTCGCCACTCATTTCGTCGCGCTCATTTCGTCGCGTTCTTTTCGTCGCCGCTCATTTCGTCGCGTATTCAATTAGTCGCGTTCATTTCGTCGCATGTTTCTTTTAATTGATGGTTTGTATGCGTGTTACATGTTGTAAAAAAAAATAACTTGTCAAGAAAGTTTGAATCTAATTTCTGATTAATGATTTTTAGTGGATTAAAAAAAAAGATTTTGTTCTGTTTTGTTGTAAATGAGATTATGTTAAATAAAACACTATAAATAAATCAGATTTGGGAAATAAAATAAAACACTGTCTGTCTAAGTAAAAGCTCATTAAGAATCAATCAATTAAGCTGAATATGTATAAAAGCATAGCTCGCTTGATAAGAGTACTACTCATCACTTATCAACTTGACTCATTCAATGTCTTCTATTCAAAAGCTTCTATCGGGAAAAGGAAAACCTATGGTTTGTTACCTGGGCTTTATATATACTAAGGAAAAATCTACAACAACAAAAATAATTTTTCGTTGCCAAAACAGAAGCTGCAAAGGTAAAAAAAATTGTAAAAAAATGAACAACATTAATTATTATTGCTTTTAGCTCGATGTCATACTAATTTATCGATGGATACTTTTCTTTCTCCACCAACTGATCATAATCATGCACCCAACCCTGAACGTATTCCAGTAATTGAACTACACAACGAGATCAAAGTCAGAGCGGTTACATCTGAAGAATCAACAAGTATCATCCTCCATTCATCCTTACGAATGTTTCCACTGAGCGCTACAAGCGAACTTCCTCGTACTGAAATGCTCAAGCAAACGATTCGAAGACAACGCCAGACACCAGCAACAACATCAACTGATGATTTGACCGATGATTTAAGAAAAACTTATCGTGGCGAAGATTTTCTCCTGCACGAAGAGAAGGATATGATTATTTTCACCACGAAAAGTAATTTATCAGCACTGAAGCAATCAAAACATTGGTTCGCTGATGGAACGTTTAAAGTATGGGACTAATTGTTTTTTTCATAACCAATTAGTGTATCACTCTCTCTCTCTCTTTAGGTATGTCCTAATGACTTCTATCAGCTATTCACACTTCATGCGTTGATGACATCAACAATTATCCCTCTTGTATACGGCCTCTTGATTGGAAAAAGCTCGAACGATTACAACGGCTTCTTCAGAAAAGTACTGGACCAGGACAACTTTCAACCTGAAACGATCCTGAGTGACTTCGAAACTGGTACGATCAAGACAATCAAAGATATGTTGCCAAACGTTACTCACAAAGGTAAACCAAAAAAAAATCATTAATTTACACTAATTAAGTTTCTCTTATAGGCTGTCTCTTTCACTTCGGTCAAAGCGTTTGGCGGCACGTTCAAAACAAGGGACTATCAACGAAATATAAAGAAGATGAAAATTTTCGACTTAACGTCAAAATGTTAATTGGTCTGGCTTATCTTCCTCTTTCTGATGTGATTACTGGCTTTGATCTCGTGGCAGGTGAATTCGATGACGACGCTGATGATCTACTTGATTATTTTGAAAAAACATGGATAGGTGAACCAAGAAGAAGAGGTGAGAAAATTATTAAAGTTAACTGTTTTAAATATGCTGCTTTTCAGGGGCTGGTCGTAAAAAGCCTCAATTCGACCACGCATTATGGAATGTTTACGATCGTGTCATAACTGATTTACCTCGATCCAACAATTCTGTTGAAGGATGGCACAATGCTTTTGCAAGTCGTGTTACCGTTGCTCATCCAACAATCAAGAAACTGGTCGAGAAAATTCGTCGTGAACAATCCAAATTCGAGATCGACATTGCTCATCTTCTTCAAGGTCATCAGCCGAAGCCTAAAAAAGCCTGTTACAGAAAACTTGACGAGAGAATCGCGCGTTTGGTTCGTGGTTATGATCCACTACAGATTCATCAATATCTTAAAAACATAGCAGCTAATGTTTCTTTGTAATTATTGTTTTTTTGCCAATTACATACTTTTTTTTCTTGTAATAAATTTGTAATCTCATTACATGCATCTTTAATTAAGAGAAGAGAGAGAAAGAGAAAAAAAGATATATATATATAGTGAGAAAACAACGCATTCAATATGCGACGAAATGAGTGCGACGAAATGAGTACGCGACGAAATGAGCGGCGACGAAAAGAACGCGACAAAATGAGCGCGACGATATGAGTGGCGACGAAATGATCGTCCACCCTGAAATTTATCGATTAGTTTTTACTTCACGAAACTTGACATATTTTGCATGTTCATCAGAAACAAACATGGTATCTCTTCAATTACCAGTTGCTACTAATGAACAATTAACAACTATAGAACGTCTTATTATTGATCATTCTTGTAATTTTAATGATCTTTCTCTAATCGTTTCTT